TCAGCACAGATTTGTAGAACACGTCCACGGATAACACCCAGCAATAGTAAGAAGCGTCCTGATATCTTCCTTCAACCACCGCGTTTCGCACCAAATCCTCAACTAATGGCCTCGCCCGAACGCCAGCCTCGTAGCGGTAAAATAGAGACATGGCCAGGTCGAATGCATGGACCGGATCCTCGACTAAGAGCCATACCGCATACGGTAAAAAAGTGTGTGGGTCAAATTGACCGGCCTTCTCCTCTGCCAAGGCCAACGCCTCCGCCCACTTTTTCCCGCGCGTGTAATGCGCCATAAGCATAGACACGTCTTCAAGTTTACCCAGGCAAATTTCCCTCATTGCTCGATCACGGTCTACATTGGCCTCATTTGCTTGAGTGAGCGAGGAAGTGGCTGGAAGTGGGGTCTCCGACAAAAGCAAGGCACACTGTCTGACAAGTCCAACATCCTCCGCGGCGCGGGCCACGGCCAACACTTTGCTTTCCCAATGGCGTACCCGGGTGAGAGAGGAGAAATGAGAAGACGCTGAGGACTGACATGATTGAAACGATGTGGTGAGGCGCTTGACTGCCACGAAGGCACTCGTAAAGTCACCGTTTGCCATGTGCTTTTCAATGGTATTCTCCCAGTCAGCTTCAGCGCCCGCAGAAGATGCCAACGGGGTGGGCGTTTGTAGAACTGTTATCCTGCCATCTGTAAAACCTATAGCGAGAGTTATATGAGACGCCGCTAGGGCCACAGAACTCCCTGTGGACCTACTGGCAATGTCACTTGCGCTCAGTAATTTGGCAGGTAGCTCGTCGTGTCGGTATGTTACTACACCACCGTCATCAAGAAGCAGCCAAAGCGTATGGGAAGCCGGTTCATAGCGTGCACTATGGATCATGGCGTCCAGAGGCACCTCATTTTTGTCCGTCCCATCATGCTCGTAGACCGTTATTTGGTTGCTTTGCCCTACCACTAGGACGTCTGCATTCATCCAAGTCATCACATTTATGTCAGCGCGATGCACGATGCGGCTCATCTCGCAAAAGGTACTATTGTCACGTAATGAAATCACTCCATCAACAAAGCCTAAAGCCAGAATTTTGCCGTCTTTCCGCCAAGAAACGTGGGATATGCTGGTTTTCACTTTTTTTTTAACGACTGCGTTTTGGGTGGGTGACCAAAGGGCGATTTCTCGCGCTACAGCAGAGCACAGCTTATGAGTCACCGGATTATGTTCAACGCACTTAACTTGAAATGAGGCAGTCGCATCATCAGCGATGCATTTGCCATGGCTGTATTTCAGCAAGCCCTCACCTTCACTAGTCCAAATGATGACCTTACCACCAGAATCACCAGAAACAAAGCGCGTACTATCCCATGACCAGTTAATGACCGAGATCATACTTTTATGCGCTTTCAAAGTTTTGATTAGCTCACCTGTTTCACCATCATACAGCATGGCACGGGTGGCTACGGCCGCCACGACTCGTGTGCCGTCGGGGGTTATGCTCAAGGCGACTACGTCTGTGCTGCATTTTTGCTCACCTGACACCGAAGTCGTCCAAAGAACCGGATATGACATAACAGATGTAATCAATGTCCTCTTCTATATTAATGGGTCTTTGATGTAATGCAGAATAGTGTCAGTGAACCGCAGACTATTTCCAAAAAAAGAGAAAAAAAGAAGTTAAACGGCAGGCCCATGGGAGGAGGTTAATAAACTGAACGTTAGGATCCTTCCTGAGGCTGAAATGTAGAAATGTTGCCTTCGGCAGGAGAGGACTGTTCTGTTGCTTTCATTGTACCCTAAAAATGTCCCTGAAAAACAATGTACGGGTTCATCTACGACAAACGCGTAAAGTTTCCATACATTGAGAATGCATGAGAAGACGATGACTACCAATCCTCATAAATCTCTCACCAATTGCAAATCTCATTCAGCCGTTGTCTCCAATATTAGAATTTCGATCATTTTTTAATCATTAAGATGGAAGGCACAAGCTCAAAGCAACCGCTCGCGGAAGCGGAGGGGCCTTGTGGATGCATCGTGGAAGTGGGATCCGAAGAAACAGGTGATATGTCAACCAGTACGCACGGACGATGCACCTGCTCCTGCTGTGGTGCAAATTGCCGTTGTATCCAAACTAAGGGGCGTTGCAATTGTGCAGAGCGCATGAAATCTGCAGCTGAAGCGCATCGACCCACGACAGGCAAAGTCGTTGCCCCCCCTGGATGTGTCGTTGAAATTGGTGCGGAGGACGTTTGTTCGATATGTGGGCTTAAAGGCTGCCGTTGCGACCATACAAAAGGGCACTGTGAGTGCTCTGTACAAGAATAAAATGGGGAAGTCCAAAGATGTGAAATGGTGAGGACTTCACACTGTGATGTCTGGTATCTGTGAGCTATATACTAGTTGAAAGCAATGGCTGGACATCGAGGTTATTTAGTAAATAGACGATGGGTAGGCAACAACATGAGACCAGGAATAATAAGACCACAACCTCTCAGTGATTCCTTATCCCCTTAACCCCCCCCAAGATGCAACTACGATTCGAATAAGTTGCTCCTGCATTTTTATGTCCTTCCATTGCCGTTTTGCTGTATATACCCCTAGAGCGTGACATCGCTTTGAAAGTGTGAAATTTACGATAGATATATACAACCTATACTACCCACGGTGGAGAAAGGGGAATAACAAAAGAAGGGTAAAGCTACAGAGGATTGTGACGCTGGATGCTCTCGCAGTTAACATCAGTCACGCCGTACTGTCGCATGTCGAAGCCTTCCAGTCCCGTGCGAAAGTATTTGAACATTATAAAACGCCCAATTTCTATGGAAAGGGTCACTTTGCATTAAATAAATGCATTTTGGCCAACCGATGGGAAGAGAGTCATCGACTGGTACCACACCACATCAAAGCACAAGCACCGCATCAGGATACCCGGAGGAAGGAATGACAGGCAGACAGTATTACCCGCGCCACTATTTAATAGCGCTCTAACTTGGGTGAAGCATTCATATCTTCAAAAGACGCGTGTGATTCTTCCACAAAAAAGAGATGAGGTATACTTGCTGGCATATTTCCTTTTACGAAGGAAAAAGTATTGCCGTGGTCACATTGTCCCGGTAGAGGATGTCTGTATGGCCCCGCGGAAGGAGAACTTCAAGACCTCGCTTGTGATTCCTTTTTTTTATTAAGCAGGACATACAGCGCAATGTGGTTCCCAATAGAGAGGAAGTCGTACTTTTGCTTCGGCCCACCAGGTGTTTGGTCAAAGTCGTGCGTTTTGCTCCGTGCATTTGTCGTGCGACTTGTTTCGTTTGCTGGTGCTTCGCATATTCTTCGTCAAGCGGCCGAACGAGCCGTCCTGTTCTGTTCGAAAAAGTCTCTCAAAGTCATCACTTTCCCCTTTCTCCCACTAATCATAAACATCATTGGTTGCTTCAGACTCGAACGAAGTATGGCCAGCACGTGTTCCTCCGACCATCGCGTCATGCGAACCGAAGGCCCGTGTGGATGCGTCGTGGAAGTAGGTAGCAGCCAAGCCGGAGCTACCCCCGCCAACACGACGTCCCCAAAATGCTCCTGCACCTGTTGTGGAGATAATTGCCGTTGCACTGAAACGAAGGGGCGATGCGACTGCGCGGAGAGGATGGAGGCGGCAGCCAAAAAGGATCAGCCAACGACGATTTGCGCAGAAGCGCCCAAGGGCTGCGCATTGGAGCTGGGCGGGTCCGATGTTTGCGCGACGTGCGGCCGGAAGGGCTGTCGTTGCATTGCCTTGAAAGGCCGCTGCGAGTGTCCCGTCACGTCCACAGGATGTTGCACTCCGGAAGCTGGTGTGGAGGAGGCCTGTCCTACTTGCAACCGAACGGGCTGCAGATGCATCGCTCTCAAAGGACATTGTGGATGCGCCAAGTGACCGTAGAAGGCCATTGTTCGAATTTTCGCCTATCATACCAAAGATGTCTCGAGGTTGAGGCCATGGTAAGGAATACATATACATGTTATGAGAGATACGCGTAGTGAAGTTGAGGTAGCCAGAGATGAAGTTGTCAGCTCATGAGGAGTGGCGCAGGCGCATGCCAAAATTGTAGGTGAACATCTCGCTTGGCATGATTCGTAGGTTGGAGAGTCTTGAATTCATCTTTGCGCAGTATTGAACAGCAGTATCGGCCGGTCCAGAAGAGGCGTAAAGCTGACGAGGAAGAAATGAAGTCAATAAGTGAGCGAGCTTGTCGTTCTACTTCGATAAAAACGTATTTCAAACTAAGTTTTGGGCGGAAATGTCATATGGCACACGCCTTTTCTGTTGGCTCTGTCTCGTTCGTGGGAAGAGAAGTCTTGAGGCCCCCGCAGACTAATACGGGTCAAAACTATCCCCACGACCCCCGTGGACGAAACATTCTCTCACTCAATCTTAACATTGACAAATTGGAACTCAGCTCATCAAACGACTATCTTGATTGTATTTATCATCAGTGATCTTATCGAAGAGACATTCTAAACTTCAACGCACAGCAGGACCCATCGGTGCCAGTTTATATTCTCACCATCTAAGCAACACCTGCATTTATACTTGTAAGTGCACATCCTGCTCTGCCTCGCACCACTCGGTACATTTTCTCGTGCAAATTCTCTTTCGCAGTCGCCGCCGGAGTAGACTTTCGCTCTTTGAAGTTCAAAAGCGACGAAATCCCCTCCCCCCCAACCTCTCAAAGCACCGCATCTTTGCACCCAAAAAGCCAAGCAGGCTCACAACCAAATTGGTTAATTAACACGTCGTTTGCAGCTCTGTTCTCGTGTCTGCGGATGATAACGGTCCCTTTGCACCGAAATTTTCGATGAAATAACCATGACGGGCGCCACGTACTACGTAGTACTACGCACACGGAAAACCGCAGGCCTTCGGACGACAGTAATTCGATTCATGTCAACCAAAATACCCTTGTAATACATACATTCACTTTTTGATCTCATAAAAAACTTTATTAAACGTTATAATCTTCTTATAGGACGCGAGCCTTCCATCATGTCGAGTACAAAGGCATTTTTGTCGCGGAGCGTCATACTCGTCGCCATTTTGGCTTACCTCTTGCGTCCCATCAATCGTCCATCTTTTACCGTAATTGAACCTCTTAATCCACAAGACCCCATCAACCTACCGTCTGGTACTTCTCGCCGCGTCCTTGTCGCAGGAGGCGGCCTGGCAGGGTTATCGGCCGCCTTGGAATTGGCTGAACGCGGGTTTCAGGTTTCTGTATGGGAAGCCTCCCCTGTATTAGGTGGCAGATTGGCCACGCGAACGGTGCAACTTTGCAATCAGACCTTTGCAATAGAGCATGGTTTCCACGCCTGGTTCGCAAATTATCACGTTTTCGCCGACATTCGAAAACGATTGGGCATTGACCATTATTTTCGACCGTGGGGTGCCGTCCAATTTATCTTTAAAGACCCTCGGTACAAACCAGAAGCTCTGGAAAGTCAAGGGCCATACCCATGGAATCTAATCTCCATCGTCCTCCGTTCCCCCAATCTCCGCTTCATCGACGCCATCCTTTCCACCCGCCATGTCGTGGATTTGCTCTGGTTCGACCACAAAACTGTCTGGGGCAAGTACGACGAGCAATCTTTTTCGGAATGGGCTCGGGCCATGGGGATTGCCCGGGTATTCTACGACGTGCTGTACGCGCCCACGCTATCCGTGACGGTCAACGAGCGGCAAAACATCAGTGCTGCGGAAATGCTGAGCATGAACCACATATATTTCCTCAGCCATCCCAGGGCGGACCGTCGCGAGGTGACCCGGGTTGATTACGAAACGGCGATTATCCAGCCGTGGGAAATGCGGTTGCAGGCGTTGGGGGTGAAGATCGAGCGAGGGAAGAGGGTGGGAAGACTCAATTTCACCGAGACAGGGGTCCATGTTGTCGAGGAAGAGGAAGAGGGGGAGGAAGGGGTAGCTGGGAGCGACTTTGATCATGTCGTGCTCGCCACGAATCTGCAAGGGGTCAAGTCGATCCTGGATGCTTCCTCCGTCTCCCCCCCTTCCTCCCTCTCGTCCCCCTCCCCTCCTTCCACCGCGTCGTCCTTCTCGTACGTGACGAGCACGGCCGCCCTCGCCCAGCTCCGTCATCAAACTTCCTTTTTAGAAATTGCTCCCCCTTACAAGGTGTTCCGCGCCTATTTCGACCGACAGCTCCGGGGACCGTACAACCAAGAGATCGTGCTGGAGACCCCAGACTCCTCCCCCATCAACCTGATCGCCCAGTATCACCTCCTGGAGGAGGAGTCGGCCGAATGGGCCCGCCGAACGGGGGGCAGCGTCATCGAGTTCCATTTGTATACGTGGGAGGGGGGGTACGACGGGGGGAAGGGGGACAAATTCGCAGCAGGAGAGGAAGTGCGTGTCCTCTGGGAGTTCCTTCGGCCCACCGTGTGCGGGCATCTGCTTCCCGAAATGTGTGCGCAAAACTTCACGTTGGTGGATGGGTATGTGGCCCATTACGAGGATTTCCCGTCCTTCAAAAAGGGCTTGCACAAATACCGCCCCCGAAGCCAGACGCCCCACCAACTGGGCCTGACTCGCTTGAGCCTCGCAGGGGACTGGCTCTCCACCAGTTTCCCCTCCGCGCTGATGGAACGGGCGGTGGCAACGGGGCGGGAGGCGGCCAACGTGGTGTTGCAAGAGGAGGGGATCCGCCAGGCGGCACTGCCCGTCACGACTTCTCACGGGCCAGGACTGCGGGTGCTGGCTTCGTAGGGAGGGAGGGAGAGAGGGAGGGAGGGAGAGAGGGAGGGAGGGAGAGAGGGAGGGAGGGAGAGAGGGAGGGCGTGCTGGCACTTGGCGGTGCTGCACTTTTGGGGAGATGGTAAATAGACATGCACGAGGTTTTTAGGCGAAGAGTGAGCTTCGACTTTCAAGGAAGGGAACAGGAGCGAGTTGAAGCTCGCATTAAGTGCTAGGATAAGCCCTTGGTCCTAGAGGTGATGGAAAAGAGTGTTAGGGTAAGGGGTGGAAAAGGGTTGAAAAGGAGACCACCGTCCATGTATTTAATAGAAAGCAAGAAGGAAAGCGGCGAGCGGGTCAATGGATCGGTCATGCACGCAGATCTCTCCAACGCACCGGGAACCAAGATAAGGGGAAGGGTAAGGCCAGTCCCCTTCATGTCCAAACATGGAGCCTCCAACCCTCCTTTGCGCCAAGGCGGGGGTCTCAAGACAGCGTTTTCTTTGTGTTTGCAGTCCAGTTCCCCTGCTATCAGCGCTCTTTACATGGGCACCGTAGGGTTCCGTCCCGGGGTAGGCCAAAGGAGGCTTTCCTCATCAATTCTACGAAGCACTTCGACGCGTCACGCCAGGATATGGCCATTCATTCAGTCTACTTTTCCTTCCTTCAAACCCACAAAGCCTTGCCCCTCGCCGACATTCGCCTGCCCCTCGCCTTTCCATCTTGGATATACCCCCGGGGAACCCCATCTTCTTCGTCGCTCATTCATAGCCCACCACTTGGATACCCACCGTCCTCTCCCTCTCCCCGTCCAGCTCCACCATCATCACCGATTGCCAACGGCCAATTTTCAACTTCCCCCCGCTCACGGGCACCACCAAAGTGTTTCCCAACAGCATGGACAACAAATGCGCGTGGCAATTTTGAGGTTCCTGGGCCCGCCACTCTTCCACGCTCTCCCACTCCCCTCCTGCTGCCACCCTCCGTTTGTCCTCCTCGGAAGCCGGGCGCAAATGGATGTCGTTGTGGAGGTACGGGTACTGGGGAGGGGCCAACTTCAAAAGAAATTGGCGAATATCATCCATCAGACGGCTTTCACATTCGTTGATCGTCACGGCCGTGGTAGTGTGACGGCTGACGATATGGACCCATCCTTCCACCACCCCGGACTCCCGCACCGCCTGTCGAAGCTGCGGCGTGATGTCGTGCAGGGAGATGCCTGAAGGAGAGGACGAGAGCGAGGAAGGAGGGGAGGTACCATGGAGTGATGAATGCCTGGCAAGATGGTACGATTATCAATGTCACCAGACGACAGTCCCGTCATGCTTTTCGTCGAACGCTTTCATGGCATGTCTTACCGCTCTTGGTCGGAAGGCTTATTTCCAGGTAACTAGTCACGGATGGTCCAGTGTGTTTCTTCGTGTGCTGGGCGCCAAAGCTTACCTTCTCCCCCGTGCCCGTCGTGTCAACCACGTCCGGATCGGGGAGAGAGGCACGATGCACCTCCAGGGCTGGCGAAGGGGGATGGTATTGATCTGGGGGGGGGATGTATGGGTTGCAAAGGGACATAAGGGGAGGGCAAATTTTCAAAAAGTTGAATGCGCGACAGTATCGTAGCGAGGAAAGGGGAGTCATATGATAACAGGGCAGGTCAAATTGCTAACATGGAGAAAAGAACCGCAGGAGGTGGAGGATGGGGGCTTGCTTGCCCAATTTTTGGTGTGGCATCTCTAGCAGTACCTGATGGTACCGAGGAAATGGAGCTATGCGTGTCATGAATGAGCTGGAGGGCAGCTTGTAGATGACCGTGGGCAAGCAGAGTCGTTGTGATTGTCGTAGGAAGACGAGGTAGAGGTGATAGGGGCTGCTTGAACGACTTTGTTGAGGTAATGAAGGCAAACGTTGAAACACCCACGTATGCAAAAAGCAACAGAGTTATAAAAGGAAGGGTAGTACTCCTGAGCGCCATTTCAATCTGTAGCGTGCTAATACGGTATGAATGTCGTCTTAGGGGGTCAAAGTGGTCAACAATAATCAAGGATTATCCGCAATTGGATGCTGAGGAGAGATCATCACTCGCCGTGGGCGGGCAAACGTTCTTGGAACAACTTCAACACGCAATTCCCCGAGGGAAAAAAAAACACATAGAAGGTCCTCGCATCCACACATGCGCCTTTCCATGCGATATATTCAACTTCGACGCTATGAAATATTCGTCTTGTCCGACGGAGGTATCATTTTTCCGTTTGTACCACGGCGTAGACTTTCTTCAAAAGCACTTTTATGTCACCCCCGAGGTGTTTGTGGCAACGTTTACTCCGTCCATATGACAAACGGTTTAATGTACCGTATCAAACTGACAATTTTTTAATTTGCTATACGTTCTATGGGGAAAAGAGGACGGAAAAGCGTGCTAACTTGAACGCATCTGATGATGTGTTTCCCATAGGGCTTCACTGCGTCGACTCGTCACTGGTCGAAGAGAAGCACAATTGCTCTAGAAATCGGACGATTACCGCATCGATTAAGACAGCAGACCTGATACCATGCTCCTTGATGAGTAAATCAGTTGCAAGGTGATTTCGGCCGCTTTTTGGAACCGTCTAGGCTGCTGCCAATGGCGTTCCATTCTTAAGCTCCAATGCAGAGGATGTATTCAGGTCAAAGTCCCTTATTCACGTCACGCTTATCTACTCTGCTTAATAATTGTTACCTCGCCAGAGCAAGATCCACCTTTCGTACAATTGTTGGGCTCGACCGTTTAAGGACGTATTTGAAGCCCTCCAAGATTTCATTTTTACATCAATCACCCCATACCTTATCTGGGGGACTGCTAATTGATCATGAATAAATCATATCCCCTATTTTTTGCCATAATCTTTTATCCAAGTTGAAATACGCTGAGTGGGGAATTGTGAAATTCTTTAGAAGTCCCAATGTTATCGAAATCGGTGGTTCTGCTATGAAAGCATCGGTATGGAAAATAAAGTACAAAGTGAAAAAGGTACACAACACATGACGGGCTTAAGACGGGTAATTAAAATATCTTTGAATCCTTTTGAATTTCACGCTTATTTCAGTAACTCGGCCACGTGTTCGCCATTTAAGGGCGCGGAAGTGGCGGCAAAAATATAAACTCAAGACAAGACTCTGAGCTGTCATGTTCGGTTGATCAAACTTTGAGGGCTTCATTCTGGGGCAAAATTGTTTCTGTCAGATTTGGCTTCAGGTGGCCTATTGTGGCTTCCGCGCGCAGCTTAGAGTGTTGACAGACTCTTGAAAACCAGATAAATGAGTACAGCATCGCAGAGAACCCGCAGACACGGACATCGATGCTATAAAATATGTACACAATTATTTTGACTTATGTTGTTTTGCTTGATATGGTCGAATCTTCTAAAGCGAATGCGCCGAGGTGGTACATTTTCTCATGAAAGTTTTGATGCTCGTGTCTGATCAAACCGGGGTGAGTGAAAATTTTATCTAGTCCGAATAATGCTGTCCCTAGCTGTTAATTATTGTTCCAAACCATATTTTTAACACTACTCGACCTAAAAAATCTGACAAGATTGGCGGAAATGACAAAGAAGACGATGTTCTTTGGAGCAACCTCTACGGTTTCCTCATTCAAAAATTCAACTTTCAACGGGCGAGAGTACAGGCAGTTGGGACCGTTAGCTGGCACCTGCTTTATTCTCTGTCTTTTTCTATATAGGCCCTTTTATTTTCAAATATAACACTTTAAATACAACAAAATAAATGTTAAAATCCATTTTATTCTTTTTTTCCCTCCCAATTTTTCTTCAAATACTGCGCACACATACAGGCGACCTAATCCACCAGACAAGTCAGGCTCCCCACGTGTCGTCCTGCGAGCAGCATCGAGGTTGCTGACATGTCAACGAAGTCTGCTTCAACGACCCCTGGAATGAAAATCACTAAAGTTGAAAACACGATGCCTGCACCCACTGCCGCTGCTACGCTGAACGGCGAAAATGATGTTTCCACCCCGAGCAAATCCACCAAAGTTTGTGAGCTTCATAAGGATGTCAGTATTTGGCGCGCTGAGCTTCTGACTCAAACTTTTATTGGATGTTGGCGTTGTGCTATGGATCAGGTAAACTTTAGACCTGTTCGGTTGCATGCGGCGAAAGTGAAAAGTTTCATGAAAATGTGCTTGATTGGAGGCACTGGAAAATACCCAGTGAAGCGACTGCATTGATCTTGTACAGGCACAGGAAAGTACTGACTTACTATTATCTCTTCGTATTTCAAGTGAAATTTTTGTTTAGAAGGTCATATGCAAATTGCTATCTTCTTCAAATCCTCTCATTAGTCACTTTTCCTTCTTGTACGGTTAGGCCTGGGAATCACCTCCCGACACACGTCAAAGTACTCAACAAGCACTTTCATATGTTCTGGCCCTTATAAAAGGGAAAAAAGAGCGTGAAGCCTGCATTAACGAGGTTCTTGGTATACTTTTTGAAGAGGGAGAGAGGGACAAGTTAGAGCGCGAAAGCCTACGCAAACGAATGGAGGCTTTACAATCGGAGAGTCGAGAGAGCGAAACAAAATGGAAAGCTGCCTCAAGCCGGGTAAAGGAAATCGAAAAAGATGAAGAGAAGCTGACTAAACAGCTGGATAAGATGTTGACACGCATTGATGCCTTAGAAGCGGAAAAAGAGGAGGTACGAATTATCTCAAGGAGGCAAGGAGGGTAAAAGGCGACGCTATTTTTTATTTTTTAGTTTCAGCGGGGAATGCCTCTTTCACATAGTTTTTTTCCCCACGACATTTACAATAGATTCAAAAGGGGACAACGGTCCTTGAAGAAATGCTACAGCAAGGAGAAAAAGAGCGCATGGCCCTTCGGGATGACGCAGCGGACTCCGAGAAGCGTGCCGAAGAGTTGAGGTGTCAGCTAGCGGCTGTTCAAGAGCAATGTACGTAGGAAATAAGAGAAACCACAGAATTGAAAAGAAGTGTAGCGAGCTCGCTGCTGGAGGGAAGAATCAAAATAAGCACAGTCCACTCTAAAACTTGTACCTCGCCGTCCGCAACATGATTTGGCTCGAAACAAATGCATGAAGAGGAAGAGGTTCAATAGGAGCAGAGTAAGGACAGGAGGACTATGGATGACCCCTTGCTATTTGTTTCTCTAGCACTCGACTCATGTTCTCTCTCGACGATTTTCCCACCCAGCACGCCTTGCTACTTCGCGCCTGGAAGAGGAGCTGGCAGCGGCCTTAGCGAGGAACAACAAGAACCGGGAACAATTGTCATCGCCCGTGCCGTCATCTTCGCTGCATCTCTCACCTACTGGCCTTCCCCAGTCGCAAGTTCAGTTCCAGCAAGCGGAGCCGTCGAAGAATCCATATGTTTCGACATGGATATCTGCAGCGGATCAGCATAAACTAGAAACACAAAGATTCTCTGCTTGGCAACCCTCTGTGCCTTCTGCAACGGCAGGAGCTGTGACACTGGATAACAAACCCCTCCCTTCCTCCAACAATTTCCAATCGTTATCACATCAACCACAACGTCCCCAAGAAGACCAACGGCTGAAGGAACCAGACGATCCCTTTGACGTAGCGCCCCCGACAACGCTTGCTCCTGGGTTGTCGATCCACCGCGCCGACGGAACCGTGTCCAACACGAAGGAGAAAGGGGAGGGCACCGTTGTCGACTCGACACCGACCATCACTGACAAAACTTCGGACCAAGATCTGGGAGAGGACGGCGGTAAAGGTAATGAAAATGAAAACACCCGCCTCGAGAAGGAAAAGAATCCGATTGGCGCACTTTTCGGCAAGTTGACCAGCAAAAACCCCGTGGAAGTCGGCACAGCACGCTTTTCAGGTCGCTCGCTCGCCCGGGGTCCAGGGGAGGACAAGTCGAGCTCCAATATAAAACCTCAAACTAAAGTTCAGGGTCCTACGTCCTCCTCCTTACCTTCATCCCAAGCGTCAAACCAGTCTCCACCCCGGCCGAAAATCAGCGTAATCGCCCACATGGACGGTCAAGAGGTGAGGATTCGTAATGCTGTACGTATCTGACGTAGATTCCGTCCACTCACACTGATACGAAATCCACGTCCGCCCCTGATATTAACAGCGCGTAGCTTTCACCATGTATCAGGACGATCGATTTCAGAAAGTCATGGAGCGTTACTTACAAGTGAAGGACATTCAGGCTCCTGTAGACGAGGTGCGATTCGTAGTCGATGCAAATCACCA